GCAGTCGGCAGCTGTTGTTGGTCTTACTTCCGTCTCCTTGAAAAGAAGCATGCCCGTGGTGTTGCAAACACAGCAACACAAAGAATCAAGTTCAGCCAAATGGGGTTGTAAAGAACTGCTCCTACTAACCTCCCTGCTGGGGGGTTATTATACAACCCCAGATACAAATCTATACAAATCTAAGATTCAACACAAAGGTTAACGGTTCACATCAATTGCCTCGACAAACAGCGCTGTGGTCACAGGTTGCCGCAATCAGAGGTGACCATGCGAGAAACAGGAATCAAGCAATCAATTAGGGCTAGGGTGTTGATTTCTCCTGCATTTCATGAATGCTCAAGCTTCTGTGCCCTGCCGAATTCTGAAAATCAGAACACGGACTTGGACCAATGGAAACAAATGAACAACAAAATTACATCTTCTTTGTTCCGCACAAAGTCCTGGGACTCCGCGTCTGAGCACCCCGGACTCCGCGTGTGAGTTTAAGGAGAGAATCTTGCCAAGATCCTGGCGTCCCCAAACTCCACTCACCCAGGTGGCTCGGTCGAGCGGAGAAACCCAGCGTGACAGCGACAGCGGTGTTTCGGAAGCTCTTCTTTTGGAGCACAACAAACAGCTCACACCAATAATTGCTCTGAAGTGTCGCCTAGAGGGATCACTGTAGCAATCTTCCCCTGCCATGATTGACTTGAAACTCCTTCCGACCACCACATTATATGGAAGCGTACACCGACGAAAAGCGAGTCCTTTGCAAACACCGACAAAAGCGAGTCCCCGAAGTTCCTGCTTTGCTCGACTCACCAAACTCTGGATATCTTGATAACATGAGGGCTAGGAGAGCCCAGTCACCCAAGGGATGTGAAACATAGGTCTCCAGCCCACTTGGAAGTCTATTGTCGACCTCTCCAGAGCTGGGTCTGGGCCTTTGGAGTTTCAGAGCTGAGCTTGATGATCTAGTGTGATAAAGTAACTAACATACAAACTGAAAAGAGTCAACCCCTGCCGGAAACATACAAACAATCCTCATGATTGTCTAATCCCTTCGGAAATTCTTTGCTTAAAGAATCAAACACGTCTATCTTCCTCGGACCATGAGTATAATTACATACACAAACAAACACATATTACAACAACAGCAACAACCACTAGAGTGCTGTTGAATCCAAAACAGAAAAAAAAAGGTACTCACTTTCCATATCCATCGAAGAAAGGCTCTTCCAATGGCGCCCGACCGCGGTCGATGACCTAAAAAAATCACCGCCTCGGCCAGTCACCCAAGTCGGGTGGCTCGGCCGACCTCGGAACATGCGGAGGCAGAGGCAGTAAACATGCTTAAAACAAGAAACACAAAGGAAGAACACGTGGTACCACGTGAGTATGTTTAATCACAAGAACATGTCAAATAAGGTCGACCATTGATCCATATACATATGTATATAGCATTGAATATATATTTTTTTTTCACGGATTTAATGAATGTCCTTCGCAAGAGGCAAACGATTTGACCTGGACCTGTGGGTTCCCAGTCTGGAGTCGCCGACCAGTCTCCAGTCTCGGCGGCTCGGTCACCGCTCGGTCACCGCCGTTTCGAGCGATTGCGCCAGTCCCGTCCTTCACTGGTCAAACGTCAAGGTGCCACATTGTAACATGCTGCCACTTGGGTTCGTCTACTCGGTCCCCACAGTGGTTTCCAAGAGTGAATCGGCCTGACCATAAACAGTTATACATCTAAACCCCTATATTGTGGCTCTGTGTCTTGACACAAAAGGTCCATCTGTATATTATGTAGGCTTTTGTGGATCTATGTCTATCAATGTCTATACTATATATACGCCATGTTGTGGATCTACGATATGTCAAGACCCAGAAACCTCTGCACGGCTCTTCCCCCGCACCCGTGACATGATCCCTGCAACGGTTGCATGGCAGGTTTGGCTTAAAAAGACCCCACGCAACAGCTGAATCCCTCAGATATGGTGTCAAGACGGGAAGACTAGCTTCATAATGTAGACTCTTGACTCATTAACCCCCCCCAGAAATGGACTGGAAAACCTTGCCATGGATCTTCATGGGGGGGTTATGAATCAACAATCTACAATTAGAAGGACGTGATCAAACGCTTCACCACCGACCTGCCGGATAGTAGGCTCTCTGTCAAGCGGCGCACACGCGCGCGCGCGCGCTCGTGCGCCCGCGCGCTCGTGCGCCCGCGCGCGCGTGGGTGCCCCGGCTCACTGATCAAGCACGCGCGTGGGTTCCCCACGCCGGACGGCAATTGATTTTGGGGCACTGCTTGGCAGCGTCCGCCCGGAGGGGTCTTCCCTTCAGCTTGAGCCCAAATCCGTTGGGTTCGTGATGTGGGTGATTCGCTTATTGTGGCCATTGACCTGCATGAATGAGATATGGATTGCATTTCTAAGCAGATGGGAACATACTAAAGCCCCCAAGTCGTGGGTGGCTACAAGTTTTAGCCCAGAGACTGCTTGGACCCTGGGCAAGTGCGCAAAATCCTCACTATTCCAACCTCGCAATCAAGGATTCAGGCCTCCGCTTTTGGACCATGCATGAATGTGACCATGCTTATCAATCCAACTGCAAATATATTATATACCAGGGTCATCCAATGGGACTACCCCACCCTACTTACAGGTCTCCGTTGGGCACCCGTTGGAAGTGCTAGGTATACAACACTGTAAGTAGTACAAGTGTCGTAAATCTTTAAAACAAACTGTCGTGTTCTTTAACTAACACCCTCTCCTGCCGTGAGGGCCACCGCAAAGGGCCGTGTCATTCCCTCGTTCATCCTCATTCCCTACCAAGCACCCCACCTGTTGCTTGCCTCCCACCAAACCACAGGCTCTGTGGTGAGATCTTGGAGGAGGGTAGGATTCCAAGTGAATCACCAAAAAGACACAGATTTGTATAGATTTTGACAACAAAATAGGTGCTGTGGATCGGATTTGAACTTAAACCTATGTTAAACAACCTTAACTCAAACGGAACCCTAGTGAAGGAACCCTAATGTTTCACCAGCCTTTTTCAGGCCTGAAAGGATTGCCCCAAACGCACCCAGGAGGGTTTGCTCCGAAAACAACATCGAAAAACCTGCCACCGAACCATGAAAACGTGGCGCTGCAAGCCGCGCCTTGGATCCAACTCAACTCAATCGGCCTGGCTTCCGCGCATATCGCGGGGCAGTGATCGATCGAGAGGGTCTTCCAACAGCTCGAGCTTTGGTGATCTCATTTGGTCAGTTTGGTCCAATGAAATTTTGTGTGAGCTTTTGTGTGGGAACTGCAAGAATCTGAGATATCCACAAGCAGCCAACGGACTCTTGCTCAAACTGAGGGCTTGGACAAATTGTGAGGCCCAGCCCCTGTTAAAAATAAAAAACAAACTCTAGGCCGCGCCTTCCCAAAACAACAGACCCAAAAACTGCCCGTTCTCATGTGGGCCTCTTTCTTCTATCCAGCAAAGCTTCCGCTATGCTTCCGTTTGAGGGTCTAAGGCGGTCCAAGGTTTCCTCCGAAGGATGTGTTCGCCGCATTGGCACCATAGATCATGTCCGTGAGCTGGTTCCTGCCCCTGTCTCGGCACAAATAGAAGCGCCGCTCCAAAAATATCACGCGCCTGTGCCCAAGATCTTGTCGACCCTCAGTCAGTCAAGTGCTTATGAACAAAGGTTTGTTCCCCTTTCAAAACCAAATCAGCTGTGGCCATCAATAGAAACTCTGGACTGCTTGTACAGTAGATCAAGGGACCGTCACCTGTGATTTCGTCACCTGGACCCGTCCTCTTCCCAGAGGCAAACAAAATACGCAAATGATCGTAGATGTTTTGCGGTCTTCAAGACTTACGCAAGGCCTAACCCGCTACAGTGTTCTTGAGATTACTCCAGTAGGGGACAAAGACTCGTGAGACTTGGAGACTGTCACCAGAATCACAACACGACGGTTTGCAGTTTGCCATACTGAGCCAGACAGCCAGGCAGCTAAAGGAATTCGGTTCAAAGGCACAGAATGTTATAAAGCTTTATGACAATTATAACAATCATTCAACATAGGCACAGAATAGTCATAAAGCTTCAATCCACAATGCCCAATGCCCACTCTCAAATGGCGAAGTGCCCATTCTTTGAAGGGGAAAATACTGGCACCGCTTTGTGCAGTATTTTGCTGTCTTTCATTGTCTTTCATTGTCTTTCTATCAACGGATATCACCGGACGTCAAGTCAATTCGCACCAAGTGAATCTGTTGACCATAAGCATCCCCAGAACTTCTTCCAATAGCGCAGCAGTGATTCATTCGAGTTGTGGTCTGGCAGGTCTATGTGCTCACGGAATCAGATTCCGACGAATGGGTCTTCCCTTATTATGGGAAACTTGGTCCACCTGAATTGACCAACTCGCATAACAAACTTACCGATTTACTGCAAGCAAGCACAGGGGTCTATAGTATCAAACATCACATGCAGGGAAACCATTTGCAACAAGCTGCAAAATGCTTGGTGCCCTTTGACCAGGTCCCACATTGCCCCTTCCTCACTCCAATACACCCTGAATACCAAGCAAGGAAATGTCTATGATCTCAAGCTGGCGCGAATGATTGATTCTGGATGGTTCACGGCAATTCTCAAAGATACTGCACAAGGCTGTAACGAGGAACACCGGAGGGTTGTTGTGGTCAATTGTGCACTACTCCCCTCAGATGGAACTCTTGGCTCAAATTCCCAAGACTGTGGGCTGGGCTGAAATCTCCAGAAGCACCAAATCGAGAAGTGTACCAAGTCAGGTCATGCAAACTAGAGGCCAATGGAGCCCTTTTGTGTTCGAGCGGCGACAAAAGCGGTCGCCGAGGGTTTTGCGGGTTATGAGCCCAAAGGCTTTGTTGGGGTAGGAAGACCACCCAACATCGCTGCGCGAGCGAGTTGGTCGCTGGCCGCCATGCCGCGCGAGCGGAGCAGCGGCCCGGCTGGCGAGTCCCCGGAAGGGGAATCTTCCATGGAGTCCGCGAAGGAAGAGGGCGGCACCTTGGCTTTGGAAGATGTTCCCAGGGACCTGGGAACGATGGTGGTCGCCTCAAGGGAGATGGTCCCGGTGGGGCAGCCGGTCTCGTATGGCCCGCAGAGGCGGGAGGAGTCTCGGAAGAAGGATGGAAAAGGGTGTGGTGGGGTGGTTGCCCCACTGGTAAATCCCTTCTGGTCCCAGACGATGAAGGACGAGGCAATGCTCCGGGCGATGAGACCTACATCTCTGCCTCAGAGTTCGGCACCATCCATGGGGGAGACGACCAACGACGACTCGGTGGGCATGGAGCTCAAAGAGGTGATGAAGGCCGTGATGGCCCAGAATTCGATGCTCAAAAGGGAGCTGGCTGACCTGAAGAAGAGGATTGAGGACTCCAACAAGGAGAAGGATCGGGGTTTCAAGGAGGCGGATCGACCGAGGCCTCCATCGACGACCCCTCCACCGAGTCCGCCGACAGGTCCACCACCCACCACTCCGGAGGCTGAAAAAAAGGTGGGCATGGCTACCCTTGGAGCGACTCCTGAGTTTCCTGGAGGGGAACGTCAGGGACTACAAGATGCAGCCCTTCGACCTTCGGGAGGACTTCATGAAGCCGGACGTGGACCCCCTCCAGCACCAGAATCCTGGTTGGGAGCCCTTCAGGCGGGAGTTCATGGAGGATCGGGCTATGGAAAGGAGGGATTTGTGACCCCACACCATGGGACCCCTGGGTGGCAAGGACCAGGCCGTGGATTACCAGACTGCGCTGTGAAGAACGGCGACTTGGGCAAGGGATCTCCACTCGAGCAAGCTGCTCAATCGGTGTTGAGGCAGCTGGGAACTGGAGGATCGGATGGAAGCTGGGGTGAAACCATTCGGTCGGTGGAGTTACCACCACTGCCCGAACTTCGAGAAGGAGAGCTGGGTTCACTGGTTCTGGGCGACTGGATTCAACTCATCTCGCCCACTATGAGGGATCTGAGCGCTACGTCCTGGAAATGGTGGGAAGAAGTTTTGCAGCTGGCGATGACGGCCTACAGAGAGTGGCTACGAGCGGAACCAGTGCAGAGGCTTCACATCAAGACGCAGGTGCCCATGGAGTGTAATACGGTCTGGAGTAGGCTGGAGCAGCGAGGACAGTTGATGTTGCTGAACGCAGTGCCTACATCCATCAGGTCTGAAACGCTGGCGAACAGAGCTTCGAGTTCGGTGGATGTGCTCTACGCCCTGTTCAGGAGGTATCAGCCTGGGGGATTGGCTGAGAGGTCAAGGCTGCTGCGCCAGTTGGTGGAACCAAAGTCCCCGCAGAGCCTCAACGAGACGGTGGAGCTATTGCGAGGCTGGAGGAGGAGTCTTCGACGAGCTCAGGAACTCGAGATTGCTACCCCGGACTCCACCTTGCTTCTTGGGGCATTGGACAAGATGTCCGAGCAGATCGTGAAGGCATCGAGTCAAGCCGCATTTCGGACGTCTTCGACCAGGGCGGCTCTGGGAGTGGATGTTACTCCGACACTGGAGTCCGTGCTGAACTTCGCAGACATGTTGACCGCCGAGGCTGAGTCGTTGGCGATCAGTGAGCTCCAACCACAGCAGGACATCAAGTCAGCTCCAACTACTACCAAGGTCAAGGCGATGTCCACGGTCTTGGAGGAAAGACCTGAAAAGGGGGCTGGAAAGTCCAAGGGCGATGGCAAGCAGGAAGAAAGAGTTTGCCGGTTCTGGGGGTCTGAAGACGGCTGCCGGAAGGGGCAAGAATGCCGGTTCAAGCATGAATGGGGAAGCTTGGAGAAGAAAGGTCGGTGCTTTGGCTGCTCCTCGACAAAACACACCAAGAAGGAGTGCCCTGCGACAAGGGGGGAAAGGTGATGGAGAAAAGCAGGTGAAGACCGTCAAGAAGGAGGCTGAGAAGGGTGGTGGGGCCAAGAAGAACGAGCGGGAGCCCGTGATCGAGAATCAGGCGCCCTCGGTTGAGGAGATGGTGGATGAGAAGAGAGTGGAAAAGCCGGCAGCTAGTTCTGGAGAAGTTCAAGCCTTGTTGTCGGAGGCCACTACTCTTTTGAAGAGCTTGAGACCGGCTGGGGATGGTAGGGCTTCCTTGAAGGCGGTCAAGCTGAGCAGTCTGGAGGTGAAGACCACAGATCGGGCCCTCCTCGACGGAGGAGCAACCCACTGCCTCAGGAAGGCGGAGTCGGAAGAAGAATGGATGAGGGCCCAAGAGGTCCGAGTGGAGCTTGCTGAGGGATCCGTGGTGTTGAGGCAGCTTCCTTGGACAAAGACCCTTCTCACACAGAACGATGTCCAGACCATCGTGCCGCTTGGCGTCTTGATCTCGCTTGGCTATGAGGCCTATTGGGAGAAGGAGCGCTTCACGCTGACGGACCCGAGTGGTGCACTGGTGGATGTCGCGATTGAAGGCATGTGCCCTACGGTCGAGGAAGGCTTGGGAAGAGAGCTCATCGCAGAGATAGAGAGGAGTATGGTTCGGGAGAGAGCCAGGCTGGCAGTGCTGAACGGAGAGGAGAACCAGAGTGAGCTTGAGCTGGGGGAGATTCACCATCTCAAGGAGCTCCGAGAGCTGTTCCCAGAAGTCCCGCTTCGCCTGCTGGTGAGGATTCTGCCGAAGGTCGGATGGAGGGGGGGAGTCGATCCCTTGGAACCGACATGAGCGGAGACGTGTCCGCAAGGCTCGTGAGGTGGTGGTGCACCTCTTTAGTGGAGACACCAAGAAATATTGGCAGAGGGAGCTCGAGTCGGAAGGCAGGGCAGTTCTATGTGTGGACACGGTGATCGATCCCGGCATGAACATCCTCCGGGACGATGTCTTTGCCTATTTGCTAGAGATTGCCGACGGTGGCACACTTCGAGCGCTGTTGGGGGGGACCGCCCTGCAGGACGATGAGCAGGCTGAGATATCGACAGCCGGGGCCACCTCCACTTCGAGAACGAGAAGGTCCCGGGAGGTTTGGATTGCCGAACCTGGATCCGGTGCTGAGGCAACAGGTGGAAGATGACACCCTACTCTGGTTGAGACAGATCTACCTCCACCACCGGGCATCGAGAGCGGCTCAACCTCGAAAGGTGGTGACAGCCTTGGAACAGCCGGATGATCCGGAGGCCTACTTGGGAGGAGCCAAGATGGGAGCCGGGGAGACGGTCGGGGAGAACGTGGAGGAGGGCGAGAAGCCAAGGGAGTTGAGCGGCCACCCCAGGTACCCGACCTATTGGAGCTGGCCGGAATGGCAGAAGATCAAGAACCTCTGGAAGCTGTTCGAGGTGCGGTTCGACCAAGGCCCGATGGGACACGCCCGTAGAAAGCCTACAAGGGTTGGAACCAACATGCCAAGGCTCCTCGAGTTGGAGGGACTACGAGGACCAGGACAGGGGGGGAGATGATCACCAAGGGGACTCTATCCAGGCGAGAATCGCTCGGTCGAGGTCCTGGGCATCATGGGCGCCGGGTCTCAAAGCAGCACTGGTGGTTGCGGTGCGCGAGGAGTTGGGAAAGGAGGAGTCTCAGATCAAGAGGATGGACCTGGACGCTTGGAAGAGACATCTCTTGAATGGGCATGTACCATATAGTAGAGAATGCAAGTCTTGTGTCATCGCAGCATCGAGAGGTAAGGCCCACAAGCGCATCTCGCACCCGGACGCCTACACTCTCTCGATTGATACCGCCGGACCGTTCCAATTGGCGGAGGATCAACTGGGCAAGGGCCGCTACTTGCTGGTGGGGGTGTACCTGGCACCTGTGACCAAGGAAGGGCAGTCCCTCATTCCTATCAACGAGGATGATGAGCTGGCTGGAGCCTTGGGTGATGGTCCGGACTTGACGGTCGTCGAGGGTGAAGAGGATCGAGAGGGCTCCGGGACTGAATGGCCGGGACTTGATGATGAGAAGGCCTGGTTGGAAAGAATTGAGATGGAGGGTGACTTCCAGGTGAAACAGATCCTGATCGTCGAGATCCTGGAGAACAGAGGAGGTCCGGCAGTAGTGGAGGCGATCGGAAGGATGGCAGCAAAGTTGGAATTCTTGGGCCTCCCGGTCAAACGACTCCACTCAGATCGAGCGGGAGAGTATCAGTCCCGTGCCTTTCAGAAGTGGTGCCATGACAGGAGCATCATGAGGACATTCAATGACGGCGACAACTTCAAAGGAAATGGCCGTGCGGAGAATGCGATTGCTCAGGTCAAGAGAGGGGCACGGACGCTCCTCATTGAGGCAAGCCTGGATGAGAGTTTTTGGTGCCATGCCGCCAGGCATTGGGCGGAGGGCCGGTTGAGGAGGCAGCTGGAGTCGATGGGGTGGAAAAGGCGAGAACTCGTCCCGTTTGGCCAGGTGGTGTGGGCCAAGAGGAAGTACTACAGTGACAGGCAGAAATACCTGTCGACGACCAGAACTCAGGTCCGAGTGCTATGCCCTGCAGTCACGATGTCGATGACTACGCCGGGCTACTTGGTGCAGGAGCTTGAGACAGGGAAGCTGTTCCATACCGGTGATATCGTCCAGGTTGGAGAGGCCCCGGAAGAGCTGGAGTTGCCAATGAGGGAGGCCGGCTTCATCCACGAGGTCGATGACAGGGAGGAGATCGACCAACCGCGGAAGCGACGCAACCAGGAAGAGTGAGGAAATGCTGGGGTACCCCGTCGAGACCGAGAGAGGAGTCAGAGGCTGTGGACTGGGGGGGAGCTGCAGCACCGGGGAGCACAAATCCTAGCTCGGGAACTGAGTCTCCTGGAGGAAGACGAGGGGGAGGTCATGAACGAGAGGTTTCTGAAGATGCTGACCGCTGAGGTCGAGGAGATCGTGGAGGAAGCAGTGCGAGAAGGGCATCATGAGCAAGAAGAGCTGCTAGAGAAGGCCGAGAAAGCAGCTGGAAATTCCCAGGAGTTCCTGCAGACCAGGATGGTGGGGTTGGCTGAAGTGAGGAGAAACTTGGAAGAGTGGAGGTCCTCCATGGTCGAGGAGTATGTGGCGCTGACCAAGGAGTCGGAGGCGGTCGAAGCCATCAGTCAGGACCAGTCGAATCGATTGAAGGAAGAGGCAGAGGCTCAGGGCAGGGACTTCGACCTGGTCCCCGCGAAGGCAATCTTCAGTCGAAAGGCGGGCACTGGAAGGCACAAGTGCAGAGGGGTGGCATGTGGCAACTTCATGAATGCCAAGAGCTCTGAATCCACGTTCGCTTCGGGAGCCAGCGGGATTGAGGTGAGGACGCTGATCAAGATGGCGGCGATCAACCACTGGTCCTTGAGCACCCTCGATGTCAAGACCGCGTTCCTCAACGCTCCGGCGGCTCAGGACCGTGGGGTGGTGATAGTACAGCCACCAAGAATCTTCCAGGAGGCTGGAGTGCTCCAAGATTCCAAGGAGTTATGGCTTGTCAAGAAAGCCCTCTACGGGTTAGTGACCTCGCCACGGGATTGGTGTGACCACCGAGATGGAAAGATCAAGAACTTCCAGTGGCTGAGAGGAGGTCGGCCAGTGAGAGTGCAGGCCACACCCCAGACGGACATCTGGCTGGTCCAAGAACAGGACGAACAAAATGTCTGGATGACGAAGGGAGCATTGGCCACGTACGTGGATGACGTGCTGATGGTAGGTGAGACGGAGATCATCCAGGGGTTCATCGACCAGGTCAAGATGCACTGGAAGATTGGCGAGCCGGAGTGGGTGATGGAAGGTCGAGAACCAGTGCGGTTGCTGGGGATGGAGATTGAGAAGCGAGGGACGAGCTATGTCGTGCACCAGCAGGCCTACATCACCAACCTGTTGAAGGAGTATGACGAGAAAGACCGATGTGCGTTGAGCAGGGTTCGCACACCAGAAGAGGAGGAGCAACCCACTGCTGATCAGGTGCTTCAAGCTCAGAAAGAGACCGGGGAGCTCTTGTGGGTGGCTGGAAGAACTCGACCAGACCTCTCACTGGGGGTGGGTGTGATGTCTCAATGGGCCTCCAAGAGACCACTTCAGGTGATCAACATTGGAAAGCAGCTCAGAGCCCATCTCCGGGAGACGATTGATGAGGTCATGGCGATGACGGCCGATGGTGGGGAGGTGGAAGAGAAGACCATCGGCGATGAAAAGAACACGATCCAGGCGGTTGACGTCTACACGGATGCTTCCTATGGATCATCGGAGCTGAAAAGCATCTCCGGAGTGGTGGTCTTCGTTGGAGGAACTCCGGTAGGGTGGCAGACCACCCGTCAACCCTTCATCACCTTGTCAACGGCAGAAGCGGAATTGATGGCGCTGCTGGAGGGGTTGGTCGCAGGAAGATCCACGGCAGCACTGGTCGAGGCAATGACAGGGGAGAAGGCGAGGGTGGCACTCCACTCGGACTCCACCGCTGCGATTGCGATCGCCACGGGGACTACGTCATCGTGGAGGACCGGACACCTGAGGATTCGGGCGGCGGGTCTTACTGAGGCGATCAAGGAGAAGGAGATCACCTTGGATCATGTGTCCGGGAAGGTCCTGGTTGCTGATGGCTTCACGAAGCAGCTCGTGGGACCGGCGCTGGGGAGGTTCAAGAGAGCGCTAGCACTCCGAGGTGGAGAGAAGGAGGAGATTGCGGTGAAGAAGATTGACATCACCAAGAAGGTCGACCCGGGATTCACTCGAGGAATTGGACTGCTTGTCGCGGCTGCCAGTCTGTTGGGGAGAGTGGAGGCGGCAGAGGTGGAGAAGGCAGAGTCCACGAGTGAATGGTGGATCATCGTGCTCATCACGGCGGCCATCGCTGTCCTGGTCGACATTGCCTTTCGAGTGGGGACTTCGGGCATCCAGAGATGGTTCAGGCCGAAGGAGGAGATCAAAGTGAAGTTGCTCAGCCCAGAAGCACGACTACCCACACGGGGTTCGGATCAGGCTGCAGGACTGGACCTATACTCCAACATTGAAACGCTGGTTCCTCCAGGAGAGAGTGTGCTGATCAAGACCGGCTTGGCGATTGAGCTTCCAGCTGGGACATATGGACGAATCGCGCCACGGTCGTCATTGGCAATCCGGGGGATCGAAACTGGAGCAGGAGTCGTGGACCGTGACTTCAGGGGCGAGGTGAAAGTCCTACTGAGAAATTGGTCGGACGATGACTTACGAGTCTACAAAGGAGATCGAGTAGCTCAACTGGTCGTGGAGCGCATCCTGGAGGTGGGGGTGAACCACGTGGAGGATTTGAGTGAAACCCAGCGGGGGAATCGTGGATTTGGATACTCGGCTCACGAGGAGGCATATCCCTGGGCAGAGCCTGACGATCCCCTTTACCAGAGGCAGGAGCTGGGAACTAGCCATCCGGTGGATCGAATCTCAATGAGGACGATGAGGGTGAGATCAAGTCCCGAGACGGCCCCAATGGCGTCGGCTGGGCAGACATCGGCAGTGGACCGAGAGGGACCACGTCCTGACCGACCTGAACCAGCTGGACACCTTGAAGGAACTGATCCGGGATTATGCCATCGTAGTGTCCAGATCGGGGAGGTGCGAAGTGAGGTGCCGGCAGCAGTGGGTCAAGAAGGCCATGAAGATCTTCGGGTACACGATCCGGGACTAAGACATCGAGGGGCCTATGATGCTGGTGCCGAGGAGAGACGTCGAGCGGAGTTGGGGATGACTATGAGCGCCTGGGACCGCTACATGATTCGACGGGGACCACGGAGAGACTATGGAGGGACCTGGGTGATGTTGGACAGCGATGGGGTGCACTTCATAGCCCGTGACCCAGGTGATGGACGGGGAAGGAACCCAAGAGCCGAGTCAGCAGCTCCGGGAAGTAGAGAACAGCCTCAAGACGGAGATGGTGGTGAGCAACCTGAAGAGCATCGTCGACCGGGACCACCGAGGGTGGAGCCATTGAGGTTGGTCACAACGGTTGAGCCCGGCATCGTCCTGGGGAAATGGTGCCACGAGGAAGAGATGGCAGACTACCTGAGAACACCAGGATTCCAGAGGGGCCTCATCAATGAGGCAGTGCGGAGGGTGCTCTCGGTCCCACCGCGGAGAACATCGGCCAAGGACTCCTGGGACTACCTGATCGACTTTGAGGGCGAGAAGAAGGTCGGGATCAGGGTCCACTATCAGGACCGGAAGAAACTGTATGACTTCGAGGGCAACACGCTTCTGGAGGAAACATGGGGAAGATGGAGGATGACCGTGGCATGGCATGCGACCTCCCGAAGGAAGACGATCCTGGTCGATGAACGAAATGGAAAGCGAGGATGCCTCCTAGACCTTTGGTGGGGGTATACCGTCTTTAAGACGGCTTGAGGGCTTGAGCCTC